AGAGCCGTGGAAGCAGAGGTGCTTTTCTCATTTACCGTGCTGAGCGAAAGCTTGTTCTGAATCCGCCCGTCACAGCGTCCACTGGGGAAGACTCGCCCACGGTTATAAATGAACCTCTATTCCTTATTAAGACTTGTGTTCGGAGGGGGGATCCAAATATAGTTCTTGCACATTTGCAAGGTTGTCTCAGATCGGTGAGTTGACAAAGTGAGGATGATGCACTAAATGGATGTGGAAGATTTTGTGGTGCTGCTTTTTGATATTCTGTTTCCTATTGTCTTGTTTTTGCAGCAGACTTAGATTTTTTGATAAGGGTGCTCCGATCGGGATTTTTGAAGCTGATTACCGATAGTCGATTACAGGAAGCAGTACAGGAAACCGATCTTTTTGAAGCCTTTTTAAGTACAAGGCTCCAGACTGCACCTGAAACGGTCGCATTTGCGTCCAAAAATATTAATTAGCAAGTGATATTTTTGCTGTGATCGTCACTGGCGACTATACAAATTTACATTTAATGATTTAAAAATTTGCATGTAATTCCAATCACATCATTCGTTATGTTGACATAATAAACTGAGACGATGTGCATCAAAGTTTTTGTAGAAAACAGTCCTCATCTCTGCCAAACACCAGCACATCTGCTAAAAGCAGCTCCAGTTGTGAAGCATGAGAGAGATCATGCAGTGCATTTTTGTTTTTACAATGGGGCAATTGCTGCACAATCAGGGTTCCCACGTGTCATGGAAAACCAGGAAAATTGAGGCCTAATTTTCCAGTCCTGGAAAACACATGGAAAATGAGAGAAAATGTAAAATGTCCTGGAAAATCTTGTTGTCGACCTGGAAAAATTTTATTTAAAAAATGTAGGCCTACTTGTGTTTTCCTTTAGCCAAGAACTGACTGTTTTCAGAAAAGTTTAGATGATATTTTCTTTTCATTTGCCTCTCTATAATGCATACTAAAGTAGTGTTTATAAGGCAGCTGCTTTGTTTACAGATAAGCGCCACCTGCTGTCAGAGAGTGAATCTGCGTGTAATTCAGCCCATCTGCTGTTTTTGTTGCATTGAGATTGTTTTAAGCTAAAGTCAGACCATTCTGTTTTTGATTCGGATTTTGAAATTACATCTAATTTAATCTAAATTAAATCAGAAATTATGCATGTAGCATCTTTGTTTGGATCGACATTAATATGCAGTGTTTGCCTCTAATTTTAAATGTCTACTGCCTGCGATAGAGCAAAAAACATCTTGTTCATGAAATCATATTTTAATAAAATTTTAAACAATAAAATAAATATTAAATCGGGATTGGAGTCAGCCATGAAAAATCAAGATTGGTGCATCACTACAGACTTTTGACAGTGTGAGCATTGATGTGATTTCTAACGTTCTATCCAGTGGTCAACTTTAAGAGAAGAATTTTGAATGACGCCGTTTAGTCTGATGATGAATGCTTGTAGTAAAGTGGAAAGCAGCTTTGTTAACATTAATTGAGTAACTTGTTAATAATTAACTAATAATTTTGATTATTGTCAAAAGTAGGCTATTAGTAGTTTAGTACCATGTCGATACTGAAATTTGAAAAATGTAACAATACCGGCCTTTCTGCAGCACTGGTAGTAACACGTACAGACTCAGTTCAGTACTCGCTGATAGGCAGAGTTCAAATGCTTCCGTGCAAATTAGGCTTGCCGCGATAGACGGTGTTGACGGTGATACCGGTGTTAAGCCGCAACACCGGTTACGTCACTTGCCCACCGCGTCACCGACCCCCACCGTCGTTTTGATTTTTTATAGTAATAAAAATAATTTAGTTCAGTAAAAGAACAGACACTGCAATTAAAAACTGAACGCGGCTGCTCAATGCAGTGTGCCGAACGACAGTCGCATCACAGATCAGGTTTTATTTCTCCAGTGAGGAGAGTGATTCGAGCTGACTGACAAGAAGAGTTACAAGCTATTTAAAAGCGAAGGAAAGCGAGAAAAAAGGGAATGCCCCGCCCCCGCGGTGATACCGGTATTACCGGTGTTGTCACACGCCGATTAACCGGTGGGAAAATTTCCTCACCGACACAACCCTAGTGCAAATTTATATAGCTTTCTGTGAAGAGTGATCGAATGGCCAATCAGAGTCAGAATCCACTCATTTTTCACTTGACCCTATTAAAGCAATAATTAATTGATAAATATTTGAAGGATACATGTCAATGTTTTAAAATATTATTTTCTTTAATATTATTATTAGCATTAATAATGAACTCATTTAATTTATTTTTATTTTCAAATAGTTGAATAAAATTCTTAAACATTTTCTGGCTATGGTACTGAAATTGGTTCTGAAAATCATTTGTTGTAATGTATAATTAAAAGCTCATATTAGAGAGCTGATTTTATGGTAAAGTCACGGCCTTGTTTTTATTGAGGCTATGTTTTTACTTCTGACATCTGGAGAGAGGAATATCTACTTTAGGGCACGATCCTTGTCTTTTATTCCCGCCGTAATTAAATAAAAAATGTCCTGAAAAAGTCCTCGGAAGTCCTGGAAAATGATCACTGGAAAAAGAGTGGGAACCCTGACAATAGCATACACACTGCACAAGCCTGATTTCGTGAGCTGTATGTGAGGCGGCCTTATGTGTGTGCGCTTTTAATGTGCATGAGCGGTGCGTACCATCTCTAGGAGAGCACGAGTGCTGAATGGTTTAAACACTGGTAAGACTTAAAAAGAAATGCAAATTATAAACTTTAGTGATGATGCGACACTGCCTCAATTGTGCAAGGGACAACCCTGTCTGTGTCAACTGTGCAGCGTGCAGCTCTCTTAGTGCAGACGCAGTGTGGTGATTTGAAGCCATTTGCACATTCTGAGAGGTAAAGCGAGAGAGCGTGCAGTAATTTACTCACACTGTTTGTGAAATTGCGTCTCACAGAAAGTTTTCAAATTAATTTGTAAGTTACTTAAAGGGGTCATATGATGCGATTTCAATTTTTCCTTTCTCTTTGAAGTGTTACAAGCTCTTGATGCATAAAGAAGATCTGTAAAGCTGCAAAGACTAAAGTCTCAAATCCAAAGAGATATTCTTTATAAAAGTTAAGAGTCAACCACGCCTACCTAAAACGGCTCATTCTAACACGCCCCCACATGTCTACGTCACGATGTGGGAAGATTTGCATAACGCCGCCCAAATGTTCACGCAAAGAAAGAAGGCGTAACTTTTATTCTCGCTGTTGTATTGTTGTTGCCGCCGCCGCCATGTCGTGAAGGTGCTGTGTGTTTCATTGTGAAAGTGAAACTACTTTGTTTGGCCTTCCAAAAGAAGACTATATCGCTTCGTCATGCCTAGAGCTGATCCGTGCTGGTCACTGAGGAAATACATCAACTTCGCGCTGTAGATCGCCGGATCGGCTTTCACCGTAGACGGAGCGGAGTCCAGCCCGAGTTCGTCACATGTGGTTGCCGCAAGCCCGCCCTCCGCCGCTCACTCAAGGCCGCCGTGTGTGACGCTTTTTCGTTGTGAAAGCGAAACTACTTTGTGTGGCCTTCCAAAAGAGGACACGACTAGAAATCAGTAGGGATGTAACGATTAACTGCGAGCCGGTTGAAAATCGATTCAAATATGTGACGATTCAAA